TCAGTCAGCCTGCCAAGTTTCCAGAATGATCTGACTTTTGCTGGATTTTTAACAGTATATCGTCTACTTGTATGTTATCATTAAAATCCATATCATGTAGATCCTTGCAACTTTCTCTTACACTCAAGAGATATTCCTCATTCTATAATTCTTTGAAGTTAGTTAACAATTTCTCTCTTTCAGTGCGAGCATCTAATGACTGAGACCTGGAAGTAGGTCCAATTTCAGGAGATCCACCAGAATCGTTTTCACAGAATTTTCTTTATACTGGGATGTAAAAAGGCATAGGATGTTAATGGCAATAGTTCAGTATCAAGCGTACTCCGATATGTTCGAAGTCTGGAGTTTATAGCTACTTGTTCATCAGATTTGAAGACCGATCCATGAGGAATCTACATATATATTGAAAAGTCATGTGGAGAGACTTCAATTCTTTTCATAATCTCTTCAGTCTCTTGTTGGTGAAAAATATCATTGTTCTTTCTACAGAATGCATAGTTTTATCAAACACTTTCACGACAAATTGTTAATTAGATGGCGCTGATTTGATCCTGTCTTCATGCCAGGGTAATTCCACAAAATATCATTTGTCTTTGAACTCTATTGTTTTTTTTTGTTTTTGTTTTTCGAAATTATCTATTTTGTTTTTGTCATAATCTACAGCAAACATTTTCTCGAAGTCCCGTTCAATATTATATAAGGTAAGTTTACTTTGATTCATATTAGAGATTTACTTGCTCTTTGGGACACGAAGAATGTTAAAAAATTATAGTATGGTAGTTGTCTTGAAAGCTGGAAGTCTCAGGTGCCGCTAGACTCTTCCTGAAAGGGGAAATACCATTCGATATTTTCCGCGCAAAGCCATTCATGTATTTAATAATTTTGGTATCTTCCATATAATGGAAAATGTCTACTCCCAGAATCCCTTGAATTCTTATTTGATTACTATTGTTATTATGAGAAAAGTCTAATTTGTAATTTAATTTAGTCAAATTGGTTATAACTAGGCTGAAGTTATTGAAATTGAATTGAATATTAAATTTATCGTCCAACAAAACAGGAATAGGAAGTGATCTCTCTTAACCCGCATTTACATCCAAAGTTAACTTGGTGTAATCTCGTATTGGAAACACGTAGATAAATTTTTATTTGGAAATCGATAGGATTCAGTTAAGACATAACTTCTTCAATATTCCTTTAGAGAAATACAACTGCTGGCTACCTGTGTTGAATAAGCAGTTTATAGAGACTTAGTGCTGCAATATAAGGTAACTTCCACTCTAGGTAGCATTACGTTGTTTTCCTCATTCGTATTAACACCCACGTCAGTCAAAAGAGAGACCCCTTTCATAGGATTATGACACCGTGCCGTTATATGTCCTTTAGACAAACATTGTTTACAGAAAAGGAATAATATATTCTGAACTCCACGACAAACTTCATTTTTATGTTTGCCACTGGAAAATCTACTGCATAACTTCAACTGCTTGCATCTAGCCGCTCTTGACTCGTAGATAGGATATTTCGTACACCTGCCCATGGGATGACCCCATGAAGCACAAAATTTATATAGTGACCCATTAGAGATGATGGTGAAATTCTGTAAGGCAGCACTATTATTTTCCTTTTCAACGGCTTTATTACTTTTAGTATCTTTTTCATATACATGGAAGAGCCTCTTATTTTTCGTCAGTGTGCGGATGGCTTTATTATTATTATAAAATACTTCACTTAAAGAATGATAACTGCTACCTACCCTGTGAATGATTTCCTGTCTTAAATTATTGGGTAGTTTATCAAATATGATATGGCTTACGTTTTTGAATCCAGGAGAATCATCCTCGAAAAAATCCATACCACCATACGAGGTTCTTAACCCGGACAAATCAGCCTTCAATTTGGCAAGATATTGTTTAACAGTCACAAAATCGGGGTCATATTTAGAACAACTGATTATTATTTGTTTGAAGATCTCATGAAATATAAAAGGCACATTCAAAAATTCTTTCGTTAATTGACTTAATACTACTTCTCAATTGTCGTCTTCCAAAGTAAGAAATTAGTTGAAGAGTATAGCCGGTAAGATAACTCTTTAAGAGGGCTAGAAATTAGTACAGTTTTTAAACTGTGCTATAAAATTCTTGAACTCAAACTTAGAAGGCTTTATACCATTAAAAGTTACACATTGTATTTTGGGAGTTGGAATCATTGAATGACTGTTGGATAAGGAATTGGCTTCGCTGCCGTGATAAATAATCATTTCTTGAACAGATTCTTCAATATCAGCAAGCCGATTATTGACACTGATTCGAAAATCAAATCCGTTCCTTTGTTCTGTGACAAAACTACTTTTCTTTAAATCTAGGTTGGCTTTGATAAAAATTTCCTTGATTTTACCATCCAAAGTTCTAATTTCTGCTTGGAGATTTTTTTTTATAATGGCTTCTTCTTCTTTAAAAGATTTTTCCTTTAAGTTATCTTGCTCCAGCAATTCCAAACTTAAATTAATATCACATTTTAAATTTTTCTTACAATTAATAAGGGTTTCAACTCATTTAATTCCTTGTAATTATCCATCTTGAGATAGACAATAAATTAAAATAGTTATTTTTTAATTATATATATTCGATGTGATATGTTCGGATTAGTTTCGCTTAACTGTAAAGTCATTTTTTTAAAATATTTTGGACACCACGTGTCTGGATTAATGTCACTTAACTCTGAAAATAAAATTTCTTTTTTTTTTTTATATATAAAAAGACAAAAGACTAGAAGATATTTTATGTCTCTCGATGCCTTTAGTTCTCAAATCTGTCTATTTTTTAATTTAAAAAAAGTCTTCTGCTATCATGCCAAGTAAAATTGCTTTATGTATTTAGCGAAATTGCATATATATTTAGCAAATTGCTTATTTGTTTAGCGAAATTGCAAATATGTTTAGTAAGATATGGAAATATAAGCGACTCTCCATATGAGTCGTAACAGAGAAACAAAGGACAAGATAAATGAACAGTTTAAAAAGTATTCTTTTATATAAGTAATACATTATACAACGAGAATGAGAAGAGAGAATTGCTAAACATATTCCTTTAGCAGTTAATGTCATGACATCGGAGACGAAGTCCAAATGCAAGTATCTGAAATTGATTGAAACACTTATCTGAAGTTGATCATATCTCTTCTTCCGGCGGCTTCTTGTCGATGCATTATTCAAGTTTGCTCGTTGTCAGAGCATCATCTGTCCTTTGGAGTAGGCAAAAATGCGTCTTTTCACCGAGGCGGTCTTCGGGGACTCTCGTTTGGTGCCTTAAATCCACTTGGCGCCTAAATTTGGGTCTTACACATTATTACCAGAAAAATGGACTCATATCTTCCCTACCAGGTATCTTATCAACCAAGGGAAGATAATCTATATGTTTTTTTTTTATATCTGACAAAAAAAAAAAAATTATCATCCATTCAGTAACGATGCAATTCATGGTATTCTCAGCAATTGTTGGCTTTCCTCATCTGTGAGGAGGTTGCCCAACACTCACTGCCACAAAAGAGGAATGATATTACATAACAATTAAGTACTTTTTTTATTTGTTTCTAACTATATTTTCTTGTTTCTTAATACTTTGTTTAGCTTTTAGAAGGCATCTTTCGCTATCCTAATACGCCTTCGGATTTCGGAGTTGCATCTTCTGTTCTATGTTAAAACACTACCTCGATATCTAAATTTTTGCACTTCATTGATTTTAGCATCTCCAATTTGTAAATTCGCATGTTGGGCTCTTCTTTTTGCTGACAACCATAGATTCTGTCTTCTTCCAACCGACATTTAGTCCTTTCTTCACTCTTTCCTATACTACCTTCTGTAGGCGTGTCCCGTGTTTTTCTTTCTGTGTCGGCTATGTGACATCTGAATATCTAATGTTGTTAACAATTTTTCGATTTAATCCCACAATCACTGCCACTCTATTATATAAATGGTTTCTTATTGCAATCAGCTAATACGTAAATTGTTTACCCCCCCCCAAAAAAAAAATGAGGCAACGGGGATGCAGTTCTACAGAAGATTGTGGAGAATATCATCGACTAAGTTTACAAGTGACGAGAAGTTTTATAGAAAAAGGACATACACTTAAAATAAGAAAAAAAAACAGTTAAAATTTCTAGGACACATAATGAGGATAGAAGGCCTGGAGAATTTAGCAACTACAGAACATTGTATAAGCAAGACGGTCAGAAGGAAACAGTAATCTACCTGACGAGTTTGTGTAAATGGATGGCAGAACAGTGACAAGGCCTAGCTGGATAGTAAAATGACAAAGATTACTAGAAGCTACAAAGGATAGAAAGTCGTGGAGAGTCGTGATTCTAAAGAGACATGGTACATAAATGACGAAGTTTCACAGTGTGGAGCTAAACATGTCTGTGGATAAAAAATTAAAAAAAAGGGAAAGCGAAAACGAAATAGGTGGGTTGATTAAATATAAAAGTTTTATAACAAAAAAATTCCAGCTTCACAATTATTTGCCCAGTGTGAACTCCAACCTCCACTTCTGGATTAAAACGTTAAGTTCAAAGTTCATCCTAATTTTAATACTCGATTTGAGTGATACTTTATTTTTTAGTGACGAGGAAATAAAGTTTGGATTAAAAAAAAAAAAAAAAAGTCTTGTCTGCAAGGATTACAACAGAGTGTCAAATTAATGACGCAATATTATGGGAATTAAAGAGTTGGTAGCGCCAGAAGAGTGGGAATGGTCAGAGGTAGCGTACTGATTGTAGACGCGACTTTATTCAGCACTTGTCGGTTTATGGTTATAGTTGTGGAAAGTGGTATCGGCGAACAGAGTTCAAATTTCATCCGTGTCTGTTGCATTTACTTTCGCACATATGTCCTTTGAAAAGACATGAATCCCTTCTCTTCCTCAGATAGAGGTTAAATAGCAGAATAGACGTGACTGGATTGATTTTGATTGATTTATTTTCTACGGCTTATCAACCTGAGTGCACGTGGTATTCCCAAGTAGTCACCCATCTAGTTACTGACCAAGCTCGACGTTGCTTAACTTCGATGATCTTACAGAAATCGGTGTTTCAACGTGATTTGGCTGTAAGCCTAGACTGGTCTCTGTAGCTTTGGGTAGCAACGACTCTTGAGAGACAACACTGAATTTTAAACAGTCGAGAAGGAAACCACTCCACTATCTTTCCCAATAAGTTATAGTAAATCACAGACAGTAAAAAATGGATTCTGTGGAGAGTCATGAATATCTACTTCTTGAAGACACATAGAAATAAAAAAAGCATTAACATGGTACAACATAAGACGTTGGTCTCTGCAGACTTCGTCGGGACACTTCGAACAAAAACGTAAATGAAGATGGTAATTTGCTGCTTTTTTTATTCGCCTTTTGGTATATAATTCGCTTTTTCTTTAAAGGGAAAATTAATATTCGCTAAGGAAAAATTATATATTTATTGGGACACTTCGAACACAAACGTAAATGAAGATGGTAATGATACTATTTGCTGCTTTTTCTTTATAAGGAAAAATTATATATTTATTTGGACACTTCGAACACAAATGTAAATGAAGATGGTAATAATAATATTCGCTTTTTCTTTATAAGGAAAAATTATATATTTATTGGTCGAGCAGCTGTTTCTGTCGTCGGTTGACATTTATATAATCTTTCTATTGAAACAATTTTTCAGGAAAATAGACTTTTTCAACCCCAGTAACTGTTAACGCTATTTTCAATGTGGATGTGGTCTTTCTTCCAAAACGTTTGTTTGGAATAGTGTGGAACACTAATATCTTGATTGTCATTATTTTGTCTTCGAGTTATATCTATTATTGAAAGTTGTCAAGTGATGTGGTTTCTGTTATTTGGTACAGTTCTTTGTTTGGGATTCTACAGCGCATGTCCACTATATCTGAGGAAGAATGGTCCTCGCCAAAATCCACCGACTTCATTCGCTAGAAGCCATTTATAATAATTGGAGAAAGCCGTTATATACTGCTGACAGTTAATTTCTGAATGAGTTTGGCGCTATGCATGGCATGTATATAAAAGCTTCTATCTGATGAGGTTTTTTTTAAGAACATGACTTGATTTTTTAGGTTAAGGTTTTGTAGCAACTTCAAGGTGCGTCTTCAAGTTGTGAGGTATGAAGATGGAAGCAGATATTCAAGACACCATGGAAATAATTTTTTCTTTCACCATTACTAATGAGAAATATTTGTATCTTTTTTAAGTGTATCGTTCAGTCATTACAAAAGCCAGTAACTTGAAACGCCACAATGAAATTGCAAAAAAAGCTTTTCATCTGTTTATTCACCTAACACAGAACTATGAAAAAATGTTAATCCTGTTAAAACTGTCATTAAACTGCCACTGTAATATTACTCTTGCTAAACACATATGTTCTGAGCGTAGATTTTGCATTTTCAGATTTAAATAATAAAAATCGTCAGCGACTAAAAGCGCAAGCAGCAGTTTTACAACTTACTATAACCAGGTGTATATGGACACATAGCCGAGTGGTTAGAACGTTCACTTTATGAGACCCGGTTTCGAATCTCACCAAGGTCGATTTGTCAGGAAACTGATTTCTTGGTTTTATTGGTCTGGAGAGGCAACTCCAGTGTGCCTGAAAACCATACCATGGGTTGAAAACCATGCCACGGATTCCATTTACTCACAAGGCTTGCATAAAGTACGAAATCACAAGTCATCCTGGCCGAGGGTTTTGCTGGCCTTGTTCAGATTGTTGATCACGTTTCTCTCCCAGAAACTGTTGCAGTATAAACCACAGGTGGGCTCTGTCGGTGTTGAACAAACACAAAATGTGCCTGAGCAAACGTCTGCAACAGGGATTAACTAGCCGACCTAATAGACGGGTATCCTCGAATACGAGTGGCCAGCCATTAATTAATACCAAGGTGTACCTCCCAAAATCGGATGTTGCAAGAAGAAATGCAAAAATTATTTAAAGAATTCCTTTATACTCAGCTTGACAAGTTTACAGACATATATGACAACCCACAACTGGCGGTGTTTGTTCATTATATTTCTTCCGATGTAACTTGGCATTTAATGAAACAACTGTCGACATTAAAAATGTACTTGACAGAGCCTTAACAAATGCCGATATTCCACTAAATAGTGTTGCAGATGGAACAGATGCAATGGTGGGGAATATGCAAGAAGAGCTGCACTTATGTAAAGTGATCCTAATTTTCCAGATTTTCTCCATGTCACATAAATTTTTCAGCGTCAACACCTGGCAACCAGACACTTCATGTTTGAAGGTGTTATGAAATCTGGCCTTGAAACTGTCAATTAGATATGCTTAAATGAGAAGATATGTCGACCATCCAGAAATATTATAAGGCTTCGGTTTCAAAATAAACCCAGTGATCAGGGCCGAAACTTTGATAAGGCGTCCCCTCCTCTACTACATGTCGATTACAAGTTGTTTCCCAACCTGGGGACCACAAACCCTCGAATGAAAATTGAGGGGAAGGGCAACGCGTTTTTTAAATTACCAAAAATCAAGAAAATTAACTAATTTAAATGAAAATTTCAGTACATGTTCATTAATTATTTACTTTTATAACGAATAAGTTGTTTCTATTTGTAAAAAAAAATCTTAGCAAATGTTATTCTTTTTGTAATAACCACCAATATTTTCACAACTAAATTTTACTCGAAAAAAATGTTTAAGACGCATAAAGGTTAATCGCCGACGCATCTAGGCTGAAAAAAGTTTATACAAAGATTCCAACACAACACAAACGGGATTATCTTAAAAATTTGTTTTAAAAACAGTATTTCATGTTGAAATCTTTAAACATTTTTATTCTTTAATGTAAAAAATAGGGGCTAGAAATTTTATTTTAATTACTATCCGTGGACTTCTTATTAGTAAAATTTTATTTTAATTACTATCCGTGGACTTTTGATTAGTATTAATGTCAGTAAAAAAAAATCAAAGATCCTCCTTAGTGGATTATCTCGGAATAAAAAATACTTTTATCTTGATATATTACTCTCTTAACTGATTTAAAAGAACTGTTCAGAAAGAAAATTACAATTTTAATGAATACACTTGAATTTCCTACTCTGGACATAGTTACATAGAACTAACCATAAGAGAAACATTTGCATACATTTCTAATGTTTATATTAATAATAATAGAAATTAATTAAACTAAGTTATTACTTTTTTTACATGTTTTAAACATTCATGTACAGTTTTAAGAAGATCTAATTAAAAAGATTATTTGACTTATTTACATAATTCCATTATTTTTTAGGCTTCATTCGACTAATTTGTAGTAATATGAAACAGCTGATGGCAATAATGCTTATTATGAACGCTATAGATTTTCTAACTTACGACTGAATTTTGACAAGACAGATATAAATTATTTCTATACAAACACGATTAATGTCAGAATAAAACCTTATCAACAGAAACAATGCTTATATATGGCAACTTTAAAAAATTAACTTAAAAGTGAATAACAGAAAAATATTTATTAAAATATGCTTTTAAAATATTCTATGCAAATAATATTTATTGTCATTTATTAATAATATATATAAAAATCTGGTACAGATTTCTTACATGTTAACAATGCAAATTGTTTTGTTTTATTGGTGTAAGGTGAAACACAGAGATAAAATTTAGCCTGACATAAATTTCTAAAAGATGAATAATTTATAAATTCTCTATTTGGAACGCCAGGTGGAAGAGAAGTTTGTTTTTGATCTTATTCAAACAATTTTGAGCTGTCAGAATAAATTTTTTTTTTTCAGTAATTAATTTCAAGTTTCGGTAAATACATTTGAGATTGATATTCAACACCAACCACTACAAGGGTACAGAGATAAATTTACTGGTGTAAATGTTTATCGCCGTACATTGGGTGTGTGGCTGCGGAGCCCTCACCGAACGTGGATCCTAGATTCTCGTGTGCATGTAAAAGACAATATTCCTTTCCTCCCTGTTTATATGTCTGCCTGTCATATTGTTTCGCACCACATATGTACATCGTAGATTCAGTTGGATCTGCTACATGTTTACCTGTCGGGCTCAACCACTGACATTCGGTGGGGTAACTACAGTTAGTGTCTCAGGTTAATCCGCCGGTGCGTCTGGATTCTCTGACATCACACAAAATCTATTTTTTCTCATCGCCTGCTCTGAGTCACATACTAAACAGGAACTGCTTGATAATTTTCTAACTAGGATTGATGACTTGCAGAAAATTAAAGATTTGCTTTGTCTTGCTTCATGGTTTAAGTCAGTGGTTTCAAAACTGGAAATTTGCTTGCACCTTACAATATTTTGTGATAAAAAGTACATTTAAAAATAATTAAAAAAAAAACAGAGGGTGAAAGGGAGATAACCGCGGATTCGAAGTCAGAATATTATAATTGATAACTCTCTCCTCCAATCTGCGGATCTTAGTTACTATATTCTTAATACTTGATATAATACAAGAATATTACAATGGTAAAATTGGTCAATAATTATTTATAACTATTTATACAGGGATCATATATGAATTACAAGTAATTCATAATAGTATTTTAAATTTTGAAATTATATTTATTTTTGGCATATGAATTTTTTTAAACTGTTTCTAAATTTTTGATTGTCTTTCAATCATTACGGCTCACCTGCTATCCTCTTCCGATGCACCTATGTGGCACGTCGCGCCGTTTGGGAAACACAGGTTTAAGTGGACAGTAATGGTTGTCCCGTTCATGAACCTCTGGGCCTGGATCTACAAAAAGATCTATACATCAGACACTCCAATCAAGTTTTTTCGAAAGAAAAAAATGGTTCAAGAAATAAAACACCATGAATTGAAGAAAACTAGTGTACGAATCACCTTAGTTTCCAACACAACATAATTCTTTAAAAGAATGTACCCTGTAATTAACTTTGTGAAGACGAAGCATAGCATAATCTTTATAAATCAACACCTGGTGGAATTAATTCGTACAGCTTTGAGAATTTATCAGCGGGATTTTCAACAATTCACTGCCAAGACAGAAACTTATAAAGTTTCCACTCGCAGAAAATAGCGACTT